AGAAAGACAACAAAAATTGCAGGAGCCAGCTCTCCAAAGAAGGAAGCAGAGAGTGAAATGAAGAACCTAGGAAAACCAAGCCTGGGCATTATTAAAGACTATAGAGAAAAATGAGGACTGCTTAGAATTGAACCCTGGGAATATCTTTAATATTTAAACTGGGGTCAGGTCTTAGATAAAAGAGTTTGTTACAAGCTTCACCTTAAAATGTATTTGCTACCTACTGACCCGTCTACATTTTCTATTAAGATGTCAGTGGCCAGTGACAAGTGTCACTTTTTCCTCTTGAGAGACTGGGAATACGGGACTTTTTGAGAATTGCTTATAGGAAATGAAAAGCAAAAGCAGAAGTCTGAAAGGTTATCTTTAGGAGAGACTTTGAGAGACTCTGCGCACAAGTAGAGTTGTCTTGGGGCCCAGAAAACAAAGGACACAAACCCAGGGTCGTGGAACAGAAGCCGGCAACATCTGGGGGTAGAAACCTTAGTACAGACACTGTCACCAATAGAAATTTCAGATACTTTCATATCTCATTACAGTTGTTACAGATATCTCAATGTATCATTATATTCATCACGACTTTGAAAATATGGTAGTTATTGGGCATGATCATTTAATTTAATGGGTTGATAAAGAAACTTATGTGCTATTTTATCTCAGTTTTCAAAAATACAATACTTTGTTTCCTCAATATATTTGATTTCCTTTGTAATCTTATTTATTTTGAGATTAAAAACACTATCCTGAGAAGGGTCCATAGGCTTCATTAGGCCGCCAGAAGGGTCTGGACACAAAAAAAGTTAAGCGCCCTTGGATTAAAGGAGCTAAAATTTTGTCCCATTTAGTCTTCATTCATTTAGCAAATGTTGTGTAGAACTCACTTTGTTCCATGGGCAAACTCTTAACTCAGAAAGTGTTTTGGAGGGATTTGGGGGAACATGCTTAAAAAGGAAACATAGAACATAGTGAAGTATTAATTTAAACCACAACATAAATGCTACAAAAATAATGACACAACGAAAGCCATGAATTTAGGGACAAATCCATTTGAAGGATTTCTTAACACTATGTAATTTGTTACTGCTAAGCTTTTGATTACTGTATAATCAGGCTGACAAATGACTAATGCTGGGCAGGTCCAAACAAGTGAATTCTAGTTTTGTCTGGGACTCTGTCTCCCCATCTTTGTGTAGAGTCTTACAGAATTTAATGGTCCTACCTCCTTTTTGGTTGTCTGTCCCTCTATGTGACTGACAAAAGCTTTATAATTTTTCTCATCTAGACTCTAGACACCAGGTGGGGTAATTACCCAGAAGCTTAGAGTACACTTACTTTGTCTATCATTCATTTTTAAATATTATATCCACAAGTGGAGAGAACACACAGATTTTATAAAATGTGTGACATTTTGATAATGAAGGTTCAAAAAAGAAAAAAAAGATAGAAAAAAATGTAATTCTGCCAAAATTTCTGGAACTCAGTTTTAGGAGTTGACCATTGATTATTTAAAGGAAATAGAATTGGGGCACCTGGGTGGCTGAGTCAGTTAAGTATCCTACTTTTGATTTCTGCTCCTGTCATGATCTCAGGGTTTGTGAGTTTGAGGACCACGTTGAGCTCCACACTGAGCTCACACTATGAAGCCTGTTTGGGATTCTCTCTTTCCCTCTCTTGTTTGCCCCTTCCCTGCTCTTTCTCTCTCTCTCACATGCGTGCATACTCTCCCTTCTCCTCTGGCTTTCAAAATAAATAAATAAATACTTAAAAAAAAAGGAAATAGAAGCATAATTATAATTGGCTATAAATGTTGGCATTGATGCGTTTGAGACGATCATTATTACATCAACACTTGAAATCAAAGCGGAAACCAAATGAATGACAAGACTGCAGATGAAGGTAGACCTTGATGGAAAGAACTGAGAGCATAAGTCATAGTCAGCAATGTGAAAAAGCCTGAAACCAGGGAACTTGGAAGCCAGGAGGGGAAATGAGCAAGCCAATCCAACAGGCAGTGGAGGAGATTGGTTTATGCTTCCTCCTACCTCAGACCACACAAAGGCAGAAAGGAGCAGAGAACACTCATGTTGTTGAGATCATGTTTCCCTGGTTGTAATGCTGACTTCAGTGGTGCCATCTAACAAGTGGTGAATGTAGGGGGCTCAGTCGGTTAGGCATCCCACTCTTCATTTGGGCTCAGGTCATGATCTCACAGCTCGTGAGATCGAACCCCACATCGAGCTCTGTGCTGACGGCGTGAGCCTGCTTGGGATTCTCTCTCTCCCTCTCCTTCTCCTTCTCCCTTTGCCCCTCCCCTACTCTGTAGCCCAAAAGAAGTGGTGAATATAGACTATGATAAATAGTAAAATAGAATGTTTGGATTTGGCAGAATTGAAAAAGGGATCTAAGAATAGTCTTCATTCTTCCCAGTCTCCCCACCACCCCCAAGACACACATACAACATCCCTGCTGCTTAGAAGCCATTCATGTAATAGTAACTACTGTGCATTGAATGTCTGTGTTCTGCCCAAATTCATATGTTGAAATCCTGACCTACAAGGTGATGGTACTAGGAGATGGTATTAGGAGAGGGGGTCTTTGGGAGGTTATTAGGTAGGTTACAAAGGCAGAGCCCTCATAAATGGAATCACTGTCCTTATGAGAGAGACCAGAGAAAGCTTCCATGCCCCTTCTGCCATGAGAGTTTACAGCAAAAAGACAGCCATCTAAGAAGTCAGCTCTTACCAGCTATTGACCGAATCTGCCAGCACCTTAATCTTGGACTCCCCAGCCTTCAGAACTGTGAGACAACAAATGTCTGTTGTTTATAAGCTACCCAGTCTCTGCCATTTTGTTATAGCAGCCCAGATGAGGATGGTAACGTTTTGCAGAGATAACTTCACTCTGACCTTCTATTCCTTCTAAAAACTAGATCAGGAACGTAATCTTCTATGCCTTCACATTCAGTAGTTTTAAGTTTTCTATTTTACCATAATAACAACATTTGTAATGGAAGTTTTTACACCTTTTAGAAAACACTGTCTTTTTTGCCAAAGTACACTAGACAAAAAGAGTAGGTAGTGTCAGAAGACATTTGAGTTTAAATATAAGCATTAAACTCCCAGATGCCGAAGTTAGCTATTAGCAAGTCTACTGTTGTCACTAAAGTCCTACAAGGAGGTAGGTGTTACAAAAGCCATCTGAATCCTCCTTCATGGCTAAACACTATAGTTAAAGCTGTAATCTGTAGTTGATCTTTTCTGAAAACTTCCTCAACATGTCAGCAAAGGAAATTAAAATCTTAATTAAACCCTTTTCATTAGATGTAGCAATGAAGACAGTGCTTTCACTATAGCCATGATGATACTGCGATAAAATGACTAGAGCATGAGAAATGCCACCTTGTCTTGGACCAAGATTCCAACTAGTCATTTCTTACAGTGCCATTGAGACTATCTTGTGATTTCTTATCAAACCCCAGGAACTATTGTTGGATCTTGAACAACCTTCATGTTTTATAATGAATATGTCATCCCTTAACTTATCTAAATCATCATTGCGCACATACCTATGATTTTGTCTACCCAGAAACTATTTTCCAGGAATTACTGTCACCCCTTTGTCCAATATGTAAGGTTGCAAAAGGTTTTGCAATATTCCTGTAACATAACGTTGTTCCCAGGCATGATCAGTTGGTCTTGAGGGCACTTGGCCTTAAACAGGCCTATTGATTCCTTCCTCAGAAATTCTAAAACTGGAACTGAGAGGAGCAAACATAAGTGGCTACACTACATACGCTAACTTGGGAACTGTTCCTACTGACATGTAGACTGCAAACAAGAAAGCTGGTCTGCCCTGAGAAAGTAAAGGAGATGTGGGAAGAGGGGCAGAGATACAGGTCCCAAGGAGAAGAATTTCTGAGTTTCCTTTTGTGCTCCAGCTAGTGCTTGTGTTCTTGAGGATCAGGCACCTCTTGGATTCCATTAATTACTCCAATTATTTTCCAATAAATCTACTTTTTGTTTTTATTGTTAAGCTCGTGTCATTGGGCATCTGTTTCTTGCACCAACAAATATGAGTCCTAACTAATATTTAAGACACTTTTCTTTATTTAATATTTAACATATAAATTATTTATACTTTACCTTGTTCTACCTTTTGAAGGTACAAATTTCATCAGTCTTTAATTCATTTCATCTAAAGGATATGTCTTTCAAGTGTCGGAAAGCACCTTCTAGTTTGAGATTTGATGTTAAGTTTGTGTTCACCTTAAACATGCCCTTAATTATTTAAGAGCTTTGTTCATATCCTCTGTCTGTTGAGTTCAGTTGAGTTCACACATTTTTGGTTGTCTGCTTGGTGCCAGACAATGTACTTGGTGATATAGACTGAAATATGAAGGAAGAGATCTTATAATCTAGTAAAAGTGAAATATTTGTAAATGAACAATTGAGATGTAGTACCAAGAGGTACCAAAGAAGGGCAAGGTATGAGCAAGGTATGAACAAGGGAATTACTAACACTCTCACTAGTAGCAGACAATAGTTTTTCCCCCGGCAATCTTCCCCCAATTTTTCTAGAAACTTCTCTTTCACCTTCTTCATGCGTATAGTAGTAGTTCCTTCACTCAAGGGAGTTGAATGTTCTCACACACATTTATATTCCATTTCCACTCTGGCCGCAAAGTCTAGAATCCTAACACAGGTTGTGCCAGTTCGAGTGCCCTGTATGTGGCCCCGCAGCTGACCTCCAGTGAGCCTCACCTCCTGCTTTCCCACACTTGTGTCATCTTCTCCTACACTAAATAGGGCTTACCTGGGTAATAATTAGAATAGTAAAGAAAAACAGAGTATGACTTCCATATCTCGATCAGAGAAAGTATTTGAGCTTTATAATGTGTATAGCAATTATACTCTCCCGCAAATTAAAATAATTTTAAACATAAAATTTTTTTACAGAAAAAAAATATTACAGCTTCTGTCTTGCTCCTTTGGAGTACTCACTCTGGGGTAAGCCAGATGCGTTGCCGTGAGAACAATGAGGCAGCTCTGTGAAGATGTCCACGTGATGTGGAACTGAGGCCTCCTGCCAACAGCTGGCAGTAACTTAGCAGGCATGTAAATGAGTCCCCTTGGAAGTGATCCTTCAGCCTGGTCAAGTCTTCAGATGCCTGCAGCTGTAGCTGATATCTTGACTGCAGCTTCATCAGAGACTTCCCCAGCTCCAGCCTAAGATAGAACCACCTAGCTAAGCTGCTCCTAAGTTCTGGTTGCACAGGAACTGTGAGATAAAAAATGCTCGCTGTTGTTTAAAGTTGCTAAAGTTTGGAGTAATTTGTTATGCAGGAACAGATAATACCATACCACATCCTTTTGGACTCCATAATAGGTCCAGGGATGGGCAACTAACCCAAGTTAGGCCAATGACTAATTTCCTCCTAATGTTTTGATGAACTGTCACAGAAAACACGTAGACCATTTCTCTCTGGTGGCTGAACTAATAAGATGTATAATTTAAATGCTATCAGTGACCATGTTTCCACGAGGTGGAGAAAACCAGTCTTAAAAAGCATGAAGTTGACACAGAGAGAAACGGAATATCAGGAATAGAGCCATGGTCATGTTAAGGCCTTAGTTCCAACTATTCCTGACACTTACCTGGATCTTGCCCTTTCTTTGTCTTGTGTTTGTCTCTTCTCCAGAATCTTCCATCCTGATGTTATGGCCTTACAGCCTCTGCATATCTTGGTTATCTTTCATTTATTCTCTTGACCCGTTCTCTCGCTTCAGTTGCTGTGCATATGTCATCTCACCAATGAGACCACCTTGCCTAATATAGATTATCCAGTGCGTGATGACTTTTTAATTTATCATCCTGGCAAGGTGGAACATTTCCTAGAATTTACTTTCTTGTATGTTTCCAGGTACAGTGGGCCACAGGGAAGATTCTTGAGAGATTTGCAGGGTCTACAACTGCTCAATCTTCCCGTGGATCCTCCTTCAGTTCCTCCTACTTCCGGTCCCCGTGAGTGTGTTTAGCTCTGTGCTGATGAGCCCCAGCCTTTGCAAGATACCCTTATCACCAAGGTCAGAGGCAAGGTCAGAGACAGGTTTCTGTCTGTCCTTGTGGAGTTGCTTCTCAAGCTTATGGATTCCATGCTGCCCTTAATCATCTTTCTCACTTGACATCCATTTTCCCCTCCCAATGTATTAGCAGACACAGAGACAATAGCCTTACAGGGCTTGCAAAACTAGCTCCCACAGTTAGGAGAGACATAAACATTAAGTGGAGAAGAGGCTGAAAGAGGTTCTTAGCATCAGAGGAGGCCAAGGTGACTCTGAGAAGTAACAAGAAAAAACCTCACTCACCATCTATAAGGCAGAGGCCATAACCTTGGCAGAATCCAGCTATAGAGAACAGGACTAGACAGAGCCAAAGGTCTTCCACAGAAAATTCTATCTTTCTTCTTAGTGATCTCCAATCCAGTGAATTAGAAGAGAAAGGGGAGAAAGAGTAAAAGAACTGACTCTGAAGTTCCTTTGTCCCTGGGTCAAGCCTTGGCTGGTGGAAAAGTAAGGATGTGATTAGAGTTTTAAGTGGACTCAACCAAAAGTGTCCAGCAAGCTGTGGGATCTTTTTGACACGTTAGGAAGAACCTACCTACTAAGGGAGAGCTGATATAGCACAACTGAAGACAGAGAAGGGAGAAAAATAAAATCGTTAATGTTTGTACTCCATCACATTTATCCTATTCAATAAAATGGTGATGTTCAGATGGACATATTTCTGGGTTTGAAGATCATCATATTCCCAACAAAGGAAAGAATACATTGTAATTGAGTATGAGAAGAGAAGAGGACTTAGGGCAGAACCCAGGCAGAACATTAAAGGGTCAAGAATTGGAAAGAAAAGCCAGTAAAGAAGACAAAACACTCAGAAGAGGCAAGACAAGGGAGAATTTCAAGAAGCAATCAGTTCCATAGTAGTTTATGCTGCCTTAATGCCACTTGACTGATTCCAAACCCTACCAGTTTGTAGACACAAATCTGATCACGTCAGTTTCCAAACTTCACAGGTTCTACACCTCATCTGTATAATTGCTGGTTATCCTTCTCCCCTGAAGGCTTCTTTGCTATAAGCTCTTCAAGAGAATGTTATTTCTGTACTATCTCTCAATTCCCCAATGCTCCAAAGTACAAAATCCTGAGTGAGCTCATAGGACTGCATTTCATTTGTAGTCATGTGTGTTGAAGCCACACTCTCTTCCCAACAAAGATGGGGAATGTGATAGTAGTAGAGACTATTATACTTCGGTATCCTTTTGTTTGTTTGCTATCCTAGACCACCAAGAATAAAATAAAATATAAAACCTATAACCCAGTTTCTCTTGAAGCTAGGGATGGCAATATGATTAGATTCTAGCAATAAACTGTGAGCAGAAGTAGTGCGTGCAACCACAAGGATATTCCCTTTTACTTCTTTCCCTTCTTCCAGGAGGTTGGAATGCTGAAATCATGCTGAAGCAGCCCTCGTGGACCACAGGTGACCTTGGGAATGAGGACCCCCCACCCCCACCCTGGGATTGATGCTGAGGTGTACTTCCCAGCGGTTCCTTTAATAAAGGCTGCTGGGAATGATGTCAGTAGACAGCCCACTGCTCTGACGAGAGCTACCCCTCAGCTGACCCCTCAGCTGACGAGAGCTACCTTGTTCAAGTTCACAACCATTCCAAGGTGGCCCACATCCAGTGACACATCACTGTGGGAATATAAAGACCTGGTCATTTTGGCCTAATTCAAGATAACTCTGGCCACAGCTATTATTGGGGCTGGATCACAGCTTGACCCCCTCTGCCCACTCCTGTTCCTCCCCATACCAACCAGACAGGCCTTTGTGTAGCTGCCCACTAAGGCTGCAGTACTCCTCGCCAGCCCCCCTCCCAGTCACAGAACTGAGCTCCTTCATGTCCTTCTGATTTTTGTTCAAAACTCAGGACCTCAATGAGCCTGGCCCTGCCTACCCTCCTAGACTATCTTGCCCACCAACATTCCTGATCCTTGTCATCCTGCTCTACTTGTTTCCTTTTTCCCTATGCTTACCATTCTCTAATATGCTCTCTCAGTTATTTATGTATCTATTTATTATGTTTTTCTCTCTCTCTCCCTTAGTAGGATGTAAGATAACAGTAGCACAAGGACAGGGATCTCAGTTTTGTGCACTGATATATCCCACACACCTACAAGGATGCCTGGCACATAGCAGACATTCAGTAAATATTTGTTGAATAAGTGAATAATTCTCAAAGAGAATTTTGCAGATATTCAATCTTCAGGACTCTCAATTCCAAAAACAGATTGGAAAGAGTTGTTGGGCAGCAGCTTCACTAGTTATTGCATATTTATATCATCCAATAAGAAAAAAAATGGTTGTGCATTTTTAAAAATTTTACTGTTTATTTATTTTTGAGAGAGAGAGAGAGAGAAACAAAGCACGAGAAGTGGAGGGGCAGAGAGAGAGGGAGACACAGAATCTGAAGCAGATTCCAGGCTCTGAGCTGTCAGCACAGAGCTGGATATGGGGCACAAACCCATGAATGGTGAAATCACCTGAGCCAAAGTCAGAAGCTCAACATACTAAGCCACCCAAGCTTTCCGGTTGTCATTTTTATGGAGTATATATCATTCCTTTTATAGTTTATATTCATTAATGTCTCTGTCTGTCTCTCTCTCACTCTCTCTCTCTCTCTCTTACACACACACACACACATTCACAAACACACACACACACACACACACACACACACACCTCTGAATATTATGATACCTATTTCACAGGTAAGGCCTGTGATTTCTGTTCCAAAGAGATGGCCATTGTAAAGAGTGACTTTCCTTAGAATAGAAAACTTAGAAAACACAAACCTGAAATTCTCAAGTGTGGTGATCCAGGACAGCTTGCTGGGTTACATGATAGGGTACAGTTACTTCTAACAGGAACTGTCTGTTCTCAAGTACAATTCATCACAACTGAATTGTTGGAAACTTTGTTTTGCTTCATATTACCAGCTTCTGAAACAAGTCAGTATTTGTGAAGTTTCAGGGAGTTTCCTTTGAAGTCAGCACTACAGTAAAAACATGAACTAGATCAACTGAACACTCATGGAGTCAGCCTGAGGATTTATTTCTGTATTTTCCGGGGGCTTTCTTCTCCTGGGCAAGTTCCTGCTTTTTCACCATTTGCCTTAAGAGTTAGTAAAGGTTATCTAAATGTCATTAGTGAGTAAACATGAATAATAATTCCAACAAAATCTTGTCTTCTGAGGCTGTATTCTTTAATAAATTTCTCTAAATTATCAGTTATCTTTTTATTCTTTGACTTCCATTTTGCCTGGCTATTGTTTCCCAAACTACATTTTTGTAGAGACTACTTTTTACTTTCTGTAATTGTACACCAGAAACATTCCGACATCTGGTAATCACATTGTCCTCCATTCTTTTTATAAAACTTTTTTAATGCTTATTTATTTATTTTGAGAGGGAGAGAGAGCAGGAGAGGGGCAGGAGGAGAGAGGGAGAATTCCAAGTGGGCTCCAGGCCATGAGTGGAGAGCCCAATGGGGCGGGGGGCGGGGGGCTCAACCCATGAACAGTGAAATCACGACCTGAACCGAAATCAAGAGTCGGGCACTTAACTGACTGAGCCACCCAGGTGCCCCGACAGTGTCCTCCCTTCTTAAGAATCAGAAAAGTGCACATACCACTGTCCTTTATGATCCATGTTTCATACGTAACCAGTTTCTATTCTTGATGTCTTTTATATGTACTATCTACTAGATCATATTAGATGTACTACTCATCTACTATACTAGATCTACAAAATCACAGTCTCTGGTGACAGGACCCTGGACTCTGCCTAACAATCAACCACATGAATTTTGTGCCTGATACAATTTGAGGATTAATAGATTATTATGGAATTAACAGGGGCTCCTCCCAGGCCAAGGAACTTGGAGGGAAGGGGGGCTTTCCTTCTCATTTTACTTTATACTCTTTTGTATTAAAAACAATTTTATGAGCACTTATTATATATGTGATAATCTATATCTACTAGAGATTTCTTAGGTTTAGAAGAATGACATATTAAATATTGATTTTCTGGGTTATATCAATGAGGAAATATCAACTTAGATCATTCACGAGGAGAAAAGACTATCAAATCAAAGGCTATACATTTGACGATATATAATGCAGTTATCAAATTTTCCCTTCATTTATTCAACAAA